ACATTGTTAAAATTTCATATAAAGTTTAAAACTCTATAATCATTTTCTTTCAAATCATTAAAATTAAATCCCTTTATACAAAAATGATATGATTTTAAAGACAAAACATTTTTGACAAAAGCGATACAAAACAAACCACAACCATCTTGAATACATATTTTATTATAGATTACTTTTTTATAGTAAGTTTACAAGAAATTAATTATATCTTCTTCTATTAATGGTAGACCAAAGCTACCAAAGTAAAAGGGTGCATCTTCTCTCAAATGTAAAATACCCATTCTTAAATTCATCAAATGATACATTCACACTATCCATCTCAAATGATGATGTTCCTGTATTTTCAAGAAAACTGAAATACAATTCTTTCTCATCCACTCCATCTTCAAAGGTGTAAGGGGGAGATGGTTCAGACACACCATTTACTATCAGAGTAGCTTCTTTTCAAAGTAGAATAGATTCTTTTTATCATTACCATTGTAAGCATCCTGCTCCACAAAGGTTATATATACACGATCTGGTAGACGTTTCCCAAAAAACAAATTATGTTGTTTCAACTCTACTGATCCTTTAGGAACAGCAAATGTCTTGAGAACATTTTGAGTGTACTTCATTTTTAAAGCACCAGCCTCCTTCAGAAGTTTTTGATGATTTGATAATAGTGTGGAAAAACTTCCAATAGCATTACTTTCAAGTGTAGATCCTCCCATACAATTTTATACTCATTATTATCAGTATTTGCTTTCCATATTAAAAAGTCATCACTTGACTTTCTTAATGTGAATGATAATTTAGTATTTGGTGGTAAAAATTTCTCCACAGTCAGTAGATCATTATGAAGTGGAATGGTAAAATCAACAAATTCTCTTTCAAGAAGAATTTTCCTTCTTAGATAGAAAGGACCATCTGCAGTTTGGGTACACATATCAGGAGTAACTTGTCCATGGTAATAGTCACCAGCTAAATCCTTAATGAAACCTCGCTCAGAAAGAATATGATTTGCAGCTTGACTGGCAGAGGTTCCTAAAAGTGTTTGTAGATATGATACATATGGATATGAATTATTAGCAATATCACCAATCTCACAATCATTAACTTTTGCCGTGACAGAAGACCAAAGTGATTGGTAGAAGTTATTGATAACTCCCCAGTTATCTGGTTTCGGGGTGTCTTTACTTACAGGTCCCCATTTTCCATCTGATCCCTTTACTCTAACACCTACTCTACCATGAAGGGTTAATGTAAAAATATCTATAAACTTTTCAGGGTCAGCTGATAGTTGAAATTCAATAGGTCCATCTCCAGAGATTGATTGAGGTCTAATTTCTATTTTATAACTTCTTCTTCACGCTGTTTTCAACAACAAATGGAGACCAATAATCCAGTTTGGAGGTTGTCATTTCAACAACACTCTTAGAATGTCCTCCAATACAAAATCCACTACCCATGATGTTTTTTTCTTATAATTTGATAAAAGGGTTGGACTTAGGTGCATTTTTTTCATTGACTGTATGTATTTACAAACATTTATTGCATTCTTGTTGGGATGTCAGGATCGCATTCAATGGTTTTTCCACTGATATCAGCAATACGAATGTGAATTCGATCAAAGTTTTTAAGATTAAGTTTAACAAAATCATTATTAGTAAACTCTCAATCTACTCTATTATCAGTTGTGTGTTTCTTGGGAAAGTATTTCAAAACTTGTACATGATGACCTCCTAGAATTGATTCTTCAACAAGATCACAGCAAACAATAAATTGATGCGGATGAAGGGCAAATATGTTTGCTTGGTATGGTCCTGTCAGAGTAATAGACTTAGTAAATATAGTTTTCATTTGATCAGACCCTAACCCAAGCATTTGAATCAAATCTTTGCTAAACTCCACTTCCATTTCATCACCATATGTACTACTATCATATGATTTATTACACTGAATCCGTACAACATAGTTAACATCTGCATCTGAGGTAAAATGGAGAAGTCCTCTTGTAATCTGATTTAGATGTTTAAGAACTATTGGGAGTTCATGTGGTACTTTTTTCCCTAAACCACCTTCAGTTTTCCACTTGCTTCCGGAAGTTTTTATACCACTTATACTTATGGAGCAATGTTGAAGCGTATAGAGAATCTATTAGAAAAGTGTATAGATTTCAGGCACAACATCCAATCTTTCTGAAACTCCATTCTCTGAGGTAATTGAATGCAAAACTCCATGTTTGTATTGTTTGGAAATCTTTTCTGAGATTCCCCACATGAGGAATCTAATGTGAAATGGTGTTTTCATTCTCTTTGCTTGACTTTTAACAACTACTTCAATGAAAGTTGGAGATCCTGTAGTAAATTTAGGGTCATTACCTGTTTCAATATTTACTATATTAAATGTTGCTCTGCACAGGTTATGTAGATTTGAAGAGAAGAAGGTAGGATTTGTTAACTCAATCTGACAAATTCCTTTGTTCTTTGGGTTGATGCTAAAAATGGATATAATCTTATCCCAACTATAACTAGATATTGTTTCAAAGCTTAAGTTCATTTTTAAAGCTAATGTTTGTTCACCATGTATGTAATGTTCATACTCATTATCAAAAGTTATTGATTTTATTGCAACTTCTATATCATCATTTGATATATAACTTAAATGAATGTAAGTTTGAAAGCTCGATCTTGAATTTAAGGGAAATAGAAAGCTTTGCATATTACTAGCATAAAAATGGTCCTCATTTTTTACTTCCAAGTAGATCAATCAAAAACGGTAACAATGTACTTGCAATGAGTGAAAACACACCATCACCAGTTTGTGAATTTGATCTGCTTCTTTTTTTAACTCTTTCCGTAAAAGTTTTAATTTCCTACATACAATTTTTGATTTTGTAGTACAATGACCTTTAAGTACATTATGTACAGCTTCACAAATTGCATGAATGTTTTCATCAGAACATTCTTTTACATATTTTTTCCGCTCTCTCTTACTCAGTTACCCTACGTCCCATAGAGAGTTAAATTTCTTGTTAATAATTTTCATTTTTATTATCTTCTTATAACTATATTTCATAACCTCTTAGATACAATCTGGATTGATACATGAACTTTAAGAGTAAGGCAAAAAAATTTATTATTAAAATCTGGATTGATACAAGAACTTTTCAGAGCGAGGTAAAAATTTTATTATGAAATTACACGAGATAAATTAAAAAACTAAACTAAAAACTATCGATATTACAAATTATAAAATACTAAACTAAACAGAACTTTTATTTACACATTTTATTATGAAATTACATGAGATAAATTAAAAATAATAACTAAAAATACCGATATTACAAAATGTATAATCAAAAAATACTAAACAAAATAAACTATACACTATTACTCATGAGATTTTCATCATGTTTCTGTGTGTAGGGTGGGGACTCATCAAAATATATAATCAAAAAATACTAAACAAAATAAACTATACACTATTACTCATGAGATTTTCATCATGTTTCTGTGTGTAGGGTGGGGACTCATCTAATATTAGTGTACTACTACTACATTCATCAGATGGGGGTAGGATGGGAACTTTTCTACCATTCTGTGTTCATGGAGCTTCTTCTTCACTAACTTGCTTAGAACTACCGCATGACACTGTGAAAGATTTTCACACCAACATCCTAGAGTCTTCCTAATCCAAGAATCTAGATCTCCCCAATGATATTGCCGGATATACATCTCATATTGACGCATGTATTCTGCATGAGAAATCATATTCTTGGACAAATTGCAATCAAGAGCTGGTACTACCCATTCATCTTGTAAGAGAGGGTTCTGAGAGTATTTTTGTATATTACGGGAAATATACACTGTATCATCTCGCCCAATCCATTCTTTAAAGGTAAGAGGACTCCGATGTTCTCGTTTAAGACATTGGTATGTTGGTACTAACATTTTATAAAGTAGGTTTATCCCTTTTTACAGAGAAATTAGATCTGAGGAACAACAGCTTTCCATCTAATTTTATAGTCGGAAATAAACATGGAAAGTATGATGAAATAGTTGGAAAGTATGATGAAATAGTTGGAAAGTATGATGAAATAGTTGGAAAGTATGATGAAATAGTTGGTTGGAAAGAATGCTGAAAAGTCATTGATTACACATATTCTTTTCATCTGATTTTACATTTTTTTCACAATGGGTAGAAAACTTTAATAGGAACAGCTGTACATCTACATATAGGACATTGAACCCCATTATTTGTATTTAGATCAATAACTAAATTTAGTTCACTTGGTCCTTGTCGTAATTTAAAAAGTTGAATAGAACAATTAGAGTAGAGCACAAACAAAAGTGTCCACAAGGTATTAAAATTTCATTTGTTACTGAATAACATATAATACATTTTGCTTGGAATTTTCCGTTTATGGAAGGTGGCTTTTTGAGCTACAAAAATTCAATAAAAAATTACTAATTAAGATATATATATAGGGCTTGGGAGGGGGGGGGGATGGTCAGAAGTGCCCTCAAAACAGAGGGGTTGAATAAACTCACTTTGAAAAGTGAAAGTGAGTTTGTTCAACCCCTCTTTACCATACTTATATCTATTCTGTTCATTAGAGAGCATGATGAATAATTCTGTATATCAATATATCTTCTTAATTCTCTTATTTCTCTCACTAAACCTTGCTAAATTTAGTTGTATTCCCAGGACGGGAAACTTTTTGTTTATGTAGAGAATCATTTTTAATTTGTTTTATGAAAATCTTCTAAATAATTTTAGAAAAATTATCAATAACAACAAAAACCTGCTTTATATCCAAAAATATTTTAAATTCAAATTTTTTACGCACAATAATTTTCAAACAAAATGTTCAAACTGAAAAAGTGACAAATTTTTTTTCTAACTCCAATATTAACTTAAAGGAATTTTTGCAAGAAAAGGAAAGGGAGGTGTTCCCCTCTCCCCCCCCCCGCTATACATAGATTCAGACCCCAACGGTCACGCTATTTCTATTTCAGACATATTTTTTCCCCCACTTGGTTCCCATGCTGCTCGGAATAATCCACGTTGCTTTAACTGGAAGCGTTTACACCACCATTGCTGTAGCCGTAGAGAGATGCGTCACAGTCTGTGCTCCATTCACAAGTATCAAAGTAAGTTTTGTATAATCCACTGTTACTGTAGCAGTAGAGAGATACATCGTCATCTGTGCTCCATTCAAAGGTATTAAAGTAAGTTATCTGTATACCCCCATTGCTGGAGCAGTAGAGGGATGTGTCTTACTGCCTTTTATTATTGCAACCTGGTGATTTAAAAAAAACAATTAGTTTTGATTTCAAGAATTTTTGCACCAAGAAAGATTGGGCTTCAAATTTCAAGCCAAAATTAGCGAATTTTAACCATGCCTACCACTGGTTCAAATTAGGATCACCAATTCAAATCCTTCCTAAATCTTTTTTTTTCATGGTTCAAATTTGAACTGGCAGTAGGAAGTTAAGGAACCTAGCTCAAATTCATTAATTCGGCCCCTGATTGTAAATATGCCGAGTAAACTAGATTCATATTTTGAAGATGTACCGTGGAGCTCTGTACATAGTTCCCATTGTCCTCTTCTCCTTCCTGTACAACATCAACAAGTTCTACGAGACCAAAACAGTCTATAAAGTCAACACAGACAACGAAACAGTAAGATTATTTGGTGCTATGGAAACGCCTCAACACGTAAACGTCTCAACGCGGAAATGTCTCAAAAAAAAGCGGAAATCCCTCAAAACCCATTTTTAGAGGGGTTTCCTCTTTACTTTCAGGCGTTTCCTAAAATTTTTGAGGGGTTTCCGCTTTTCACCTGACAATTATTTTTGAGGAATTTCCCAATATTTTTGAGGGATTTCCCAATATTTTTGAGGCGTTTCCGCAAATTTTTGAGGTGTTTCCGTATTTTTTTGAGGCGTTTCCGTTTTTTGAAAAAACTTTAAAAACTTTATTTTGTTGAGATGTTTCCTCTTTTTTTGAGGCGTTTCCGTTTTTTTTGAGGCGTTTCCGTTTTCTGGAAAAAACTGTTAAAACTTTATTTTATTGAGGCGTTTCCTCTTATTTTTGAGGCGTTTCATTTTTTGAGGCATTTCCGTATTTTGAAAAAACTTTTAAAACTTTATTTTGTTGATACGTTTCCTCTTTTTTTTGAGGCATTTCCGTGTTTTTTTTTTTAAGGCATTTCCGTTTCTGAAAAAAAGTTTTTAAACTTTATTTAGTTGACGCATTTCCTCTTTTTCTGTTTAAAAAAAAACTTAGTTCCTTTCTTTAAAAATCTTTCCCCCTTTCCAAAATAATTAATCTCCTCCCACAAATTAAACACCATGAGGTTTCAAAGAAATAGGGATTAGAAAAAATGAGAAAAACAATTTTTAGGGTTTCAAGGGTTTTGATTGCTGAATTTTTAGGTAAAAACTAAAAATAATTAAAAATGATGAAAATTTGCCTGTTATGCATCAAATTTATCTTTTTTATAATTTCCTAGAAAACTATTTTCTAAAAAATAAAAATGATCATGTACAAAATTGATAGGAGGGGGGGGGGCTGGGGTTCAAAAATCGTAAACTAGGACGGACTCATCTTTTCTTTTTTGATTATCAATTTGATTCAATTCAATAGAAGGCGTTTCTATTTAAGTTTTTTGATTTCTAACAAAGTTATTTGAAAATGTCTGTCTGATTGGTATATACGCAACATCCTCTATACTGAACTTCCGACCAACTAATTTCCCGACCTACAACAGCTGTTGGTCTGTTGCACATTTTTTTTCTTTAATCCGACCTACAGGCGTGATAGAGTTCTACCATGTGCTGCATGGAGCTTGAGTTGATTTAGAAGGCAGCGATATACCCTCTTTTTGTAAGTCAGATGTTTTAGGTCGGATGTACACTTTTTGTAGGTCGGATGTACACTTTTTTTTAGGTTGGATGTACACTTTTTGTAGGTCGGATATACACTTTTTGTAGGTCATATGTATAACACTTTTTGTAGGTTGGATGTACACTTTTTGTAGGTCAGATGGTACCATCAATTGTAGGTTGGATGCACACTTTTTGTAGGTCGTATGCACAATTTCTGTAGGTCAGATGCACACTTTTTATAAGTTGGATGTTAGGTTTGGTAAATTCTGGGCCGAGTGCTAGGACAGGCTAGGGGGCCGAGCGCTGCAGCCACAGTATCAAATTGACAAAGGAATAGCTGATGTGAGGTTAGGTTAGGTTAAGACAATTTCTGGGCCGAGTGCTGCGGCTATGACAGGCTAGGTGGCAGAGCGCTTCGGTTATCAAACTGACAAAGATGATAGCTGATGTGTTGGGTTTGATAGGAAGATATGGGGGTTTAGATTAGGTTATGACAATTTCTGGGCTGAGCGCTGCAACTAGGACAGGCTAGGGGGCCAAGCGCTGCAGCCACATATCAAATATTAAGTAATAGACGATATGTGGGGTTATGGTAGGTTAAGACACTGCCATATATCATTTGATGCCCATGTCCGACCATATAACAAATAAAGTTTAAAAACTTTTTTTCAAAAACGGAAACACCTCAGAAAAAAGGAAACGCCTCAAAAAAAGAGGAAACGCCTCAACAAAATAAAGTTTTAAAAGTTTTTTCAAAAAACAGAAACGCCTCAAAAAAAGGAAAGGCCTCAACAAAATAAAGTTTTAAAAGTTTTTTCAAAAAAGGGAAACGCCTCTAAAAAACGGAAACGCCTCAAATTTAAACGGAAATGCCTCAAAAAAAAGAGGAAACGCCTCAAAAAAAGAGGAAACTGCTCAAAAAAAAAGTTATAAAAGTTTTTTTCAAAAAACGGAAACGCCTCAAAAAAAACGGAAACGCCTCAACTAAATAAAGTTTAAAAACTTTTTTTTTAAAAACGGAAACGCCTCAAAAAAAAACGAAAACGCCTCAAAAAAAAAGGAAACACCTCAACTTTAAATATTAGGAAACGCCTCAAAAATATTCGGAAATCCCTCAACTTTTTCCAGTTTTGAGGGATTTCCCAAAATAAAACGGAAATTCCTCAAACCCGGTTTTTGAGGCATTTCCGCGTTGAGACGTTTCCCTGTTGAGGCGTTTCCATAGCACCGATTATTTTTCCCTAAAGGGATTTAGTCTTTGCCCCAAACTCAAATGGTGTATTTCTTTGATATTTTAAACTTCAATTTTTGGTTACAACAGAATTCATAGTTTGAAATTGCTAAGGTCTATAATGTTGGGTTGTAAAGACAAAGGGATAAGAAAATCCGAGTTTATGGCAAAGACTTTGCCAAATTGCACTATTGACAGAATAGTTGAAATATCTAAGATTTAAAACAGTAGATATCAAAGATATAGAAACCTTGAATTTGTGTTTAATTCCATTACATATTATTTAGGGGCTTAGAAATTCAGAGTTTGCAGCAAAAATTCAATTCCGTAGTTGTATTTTTTTTATAAAAACAAAGTGAGATAACTTTAACAGGCTGGGGNCCCCACTCTATTTTTCATTTAATAGTAGTTTTGAATTTTTTTGCATATTTTTTATCTTTCATTGCTTTTTTTGATATTTTTTTCAAATCTCCTTAGCAAGCACCCTAAGCATTAAAATTTGGCTATGAATAGGTATTGCAACCCTACGCTTAGGCCTTTATTGTGGGGGGGGGGTAAAACATTGATAAAGAACTGTTGATTCTTTATACAAATTAAATGAGATATCTAGAGAATGATTGTTGAGAGAAAAAGCAATTCTCCTGAAATGGATTCAATTTTAAGTAATTTAGAAACCAGACAGAAGACTTATTGTTCACTGTATTTATAGTAGCAAAATAATCAACATTTAACAATATTGGGTGTTTGGTATCTTTCAAAAAGTTTTATCAACTTAACAAGGGCAGTACTTTTTCAATAAGTTCATTTTAAATTATACAAGATAAATATTTTCTATTATTTCTCATAAAATGTTGACATAGCTTATCTGAACAAAGAGATTTATACCTTTCATAATTTAAAATTTAAAAATCATCTTTCTACATTTGAAAATGTTTAAATCAAATATTAAATTTTACATTGGATTTGGTTAGGATTAATGATTATATAACTCAGGAGCTTACTCTAAATACTCCCTTTGATGTATCATTAGGGGGGGGGAGAGGTTCTGATTTAAACGAACTCCCTTTAGTTGTTCTTAGGCTGTTTAAATAGTCTGACTTCCTTGAACCAAATTTAATAATTTTGAATTGCCTACCACTGGTTCAAATTTGAATCACTAATACAAATCCTTCCATTATTATTAACTATTAATCGTTGTTTAAATGTGAACCGGCAATAGGTAGAACAGCAATGCAGATCAAATTTTTTTACATGCTATTTACTAAATCTTGTTTCAGTTACCCGCTATAAAGTCAAATCCTGACTTAGTCACCTTGTCATACGTGGCAACCACTAGGATTACTAACTGTATTGGTAAGTAATGTGTCCTGAGTAGGGAGATGAATACTACTACTTTTAGGATAAACAAACTGATCGTTCTCTTAACAACATGAAAAAAAAACCTAATAATAAAATAATCATTTTTAAAACGATGGTTTTATTTTCTATAAATTATGGAAGAAGAAATTTTTATTAATCAAGTGTACAAAATTTAATTTTAAACCAAATTGAAGAATGCACTTTTTTAAATTTTCTAAAATCAAATCAAATTTAAAATTTATCAAACAAAAAGAAACTTATTGACACAAATTGTCTCTGGCACATGAGGATTTAGAATAAATCTCAACATTACTAGGTGGAAACTTTTAAATTTCGAAATGTGATGAATTGGTTTTAATTTGTAAAATTTCTAAATTGATTGTTCCCTGGTAACTAGATATGGGCATTGTGTAGAAATAATATGTCATTCAGAAAACCAATGATTAACAAGGAAAAAAACTACTGTTTTTTTCTTTCTGAACCAACATTTTTTTCAAAGAAACTTAAAAAAAATATTTTTTTTAATGAATGAGAGATTTAGTGAAAAAACTTTTACGGAATGGAAGATCTTAATGACCGAAGAATTAAATTTAACAATCATTCATTTATAAAAAGAATAATATAGTAGGGGAAATGAACGAGAATTCTGAAAAAATTTAATTAAATTTTTTTTTTAAACCGAAAAAAAAATTAAATGGGTCACCTGTTAACAAACAATGAAAATACATATCGAAAAAAAACCTGAAAGTGTCCATCTCTAGAAAACCGAACCCTTATTTTGTTCATTACTCTTAAATCTTGATTTTTCAATGGTGCACTCTGATGCCAAAAGTATTTTCGCGAAAAACTAATAAAAAGTGTATTTGCAGTTTTTCTATGCACTTCGATGGATATTTGCAGAAAGGAGCTAACTTCATCCAATATTTTTCATAATTCTTAAATTATTCTTTTGAAAAAATCTAGAAACTTAACTGCAATTAAATTTTTTTCATTGAATTATTTTAAATATCAAATCTTAGATTGTAAGAATTTAAAATTTCACCAAATATTTAGAATTTTAATTTGTTTATATTTATATCATTACAAGCAATTTAAGAATTACAAGGAATCAATAATGTTGATTCCAAATTCGAATTACTTATCAATTAATTTATAACTATATACTAGTTATGGGCCTGATTCCTATGGTTGTCTTGATGCTTCTAAACTATTTGATCTACAAGGCAGTTTCTCAGGTAATAAATTATATAGTTTTTATAAAAGTGAAAAAAGTAATGTTATAAGATTATCTTTAAATAACCTTAATCTGAAAGATATAAACAAGAAAAAACAAGAAATGTAAAAATTTGTCAATTCTTTACACTTCCCCTATTTTATTTCAATTCTTTATTAACAAAAACATAAAAGAAAAAGATCTTTAATTACAGGCACATGCACATCATAACTCCATCACTCAGGGAAATGCGCACCGACGTGACTCAACAATGGCGGCACTGCTCATGGGGATCGTCTTTGTTTTCATGATCTGCCACTCTATCAAGACAGCTCTAAACATCTTTGAAGCGTCAAAGGTAAAATTGAAGTGTTCCAGAACAGATGTGGGGTTAGCAAAGAATAACTTTTCTCCAATTTATTAAAAGCTAAAACAACAAGTTCTAAAATATAGTGAAAGGGCAGAGAGCCTCATTGTAAACAATTTAGATGAATAAAACATTTTTCAAGTTTGTTGATGACTGTCTTTTTTTCAATTCTAATACATTATACTGGAAGCACTCAGGCCCCAGGAGAATATCATTAAAATTCTTACAGATGTGACACCGTCAGACTTTCATTTATTTATTTTCCTTATTTACATCTATTTTAATCTTTTTTGCTCGGCCTCTTTTTTTTACAAAATAAACACCAAAACATCCAAAGCCGTAAATACGACCTAAAAGGGACTGTAAAGGAAAAATGAAAGGGGGTATAGGCTGAAGGCTAATCACTTTAGCTCTTGATCGCGACCCAGGAAAGTTTTGTCTGATGTTCCTGTCTCGAGAAATTAATACAAAACTGTGTTAAAATTATACAAAAGTTCATATATGTAAAATTTAGAAAATCTTAAACTTAAATCACGTGACCAGAACTATCACCAATGGCAGAGCAGTATACTGGTCACGTGTCTCCGCCTGTATCACGTGACCACTTTACTGCACCTCCATTGGTGGAATTTCTGGTCAAGCAATACAAACGTATAAATAATATTATGAAATAAATCTATAAAAAATAGAAATAACAAATATAAAATTAGAATTGGAGTAAACCTAAGTTACAATTAGCTTTCTCTGGGATATCATCGTTTTCAGATTGGTTGCATATCTGCTGAATTTGATCTTTTTAAACCCACCACTTTTATACAAAATTGTATATATATTAATTTTCGTATAAATGTGACCAAGTTGTAAATCAATTTCTTGAGATAGGAACATCAGATATAACTTTCATGGGTCGCGATTGAGAGCTAAAGTGATTAGCTTTCAGCCTATACCCTCTTTCATTTTTCCTTTACAGTCCATTTAATAATAAAAATTAATAAGATTTTCGTAATTTTATTTTGCATTCATGAAGTCTGCAGATGGATTTTGAGCTCTAATATTAGCTTTTTTAACAACATTACCATACATTTTCTTAACATAAAAAGAATTTAAGATTGTCATGCTTAAAAAAATAAACATTTAATAAATTAATTCATTTTTTCTCTTCATTATTACAACATGAATTATGCGAACTTTTTGTACTTGATGTTGTTTTGAAGTTTTAACCTTTAACAGGCCGGGGGGGGGATTGGTGCTTCCCCCACTTAATTTTTTTTATGTGACCCAAGCCCCTGTATTTTAAGTGATTAAGTCTTTACAACAAACTCGAACTATCTAATCCCTATATCTTTGAAACTCAATTTTGTAGACCTTAGATATTTTAACCTATGTTAAGTCAAATAGCCTAAGTTTGAAATATCAAAGGCTTACGTTATCAGGTTTCAAAGATATGCTGAATAGAAAATTTTGATTTGTGGCAAAGACTTAACTCCTTCAGACCAACCAGCTAATATAGGGTTCACGTGTTTCATGTTTACTCAACTATTTATAATCACAACTTAAGAGTTTAACAGTCGTCTTAATATTCCACAGTTTATTGGTCCCACTAAATATTCTGAAAGGGATTGTAAACATAATCTCAAGTGATCTTCCAGTTACAGAAAGGCATTTCTGATTGAGAATGGAACCCTTATCAACCTTTTATTGATCATAAGTGTGAAAAATATCACAAAAAGTGTTCAAGAAATGTGTAAGTCACTTCACAGTTTAAAGACATAAAAACATGGATATCTAAATGGATATCTAAATGGATATCTAAATGGGTATCGCACCCGCAACTAAACTTTCGGTGCGTTCTGCAGTAATATGCAGTACACTGGCCAAAGATATTGTAGGTTTAAAGTTTATGGAATTATGGCTCTGTAGTAGCAGCCTAGCCTGGAATAATATTTTATCACTGTTAGGTTAAAGGATATGGAATTATTGCCCTGCAGCATCAGCCTATCCTGTAATACAATGTTATGACTGTTTGAACTAAGATGTTATGGAATTGTGGCCCTGCAGTAGCAGCCTATCCTGTAATACAATGGTATGACTGTTTGAATTTAAAGGTTATGGAATTGTGGCCCTGCAGTAGGAGCCTATCCTGTAATACAATGTTATGACTGTTTGTATTTAAAGATTATGGAATTGTGACCCTGCAGTAGCAGCCTATCCTGTAATAAAATGTTATTATGGTTTGAATTTAAAGGTTATGGAATTGTGGCCCTGCAGTAGCAGCATATCCTGTAATACAATGTTATGATTGTTTGAATTTAAAGGTTATGGAATTGTGGCCCTGCAGTAGCAGCCTGGCCTGGGGACCTAAACAAGAAGTTTTGTCAATCCTCTCACATATCCTTATTGGTCTAAACTCTTCAATGAATATCCTTATTTATGTGTTCAAGGTAAAATGAAAATGTTTTAAAAACTATTTTTTATTTTTTATTTTTTATCATATATTGTAGATCCCTCAGAGTAAATAATATTGATAAGTATTTTTAAAAGTTACCCTTATCTAATCAAAATTCATTCATTTCCCCCCACCCCCCTTAAAAAACATTTCGTGAAAATAAACAATAAATACATTTGCTATTCTTTTTGTAATAAAACCATTTTTAAGGTTTTTTATTGAATTTCAATATTTAACAAATAAAATTGTAGTTCCATCAAAAATGAAAATTTCAGAGCCAAAATAAAAATTTTCAATTCTTTTTTAAATTGTTTGTATTCCAAATAATTCTGATGTGTAATAATTTGTTATAATCAGATAAAAACAGATTAGATTTATGTCTCAATTACTTTTGTATTTTACCAGTGTCAAGATTACAATTTAAAACATTAAGAAGCCTAACATACCTCAAGAATAAACTACCAAGCTTTTAGAGCGCTTTGCGCCCATATTCTATTTCAATTGTGAACATGCATGAGATATCTCTTTGAATACATTGCAAAAAAACAAAAAAATTTCGCAAATTTATAAAAAAAAAATTCAGGGATATAAAAAAATTCATGGATTTAAAAAAAATTTAAAATCGAATTTTGTTGCAGGCAAATTTTTGAAAATTAAATTATCCATAAATCTTCCCTGGGGTTCCACAAAATATTGGGCCTTATCGGTTCAGTCCTTTTGACATTTATTGGATATAACCAAACAAACATACTCCTGGACAATCAAAGTACATCTATCTATATACTTTGCTTGTCTGTCATGATGTTGTCTTTTTGATTGTGTCCAATAAATGTGAAAACGGCCTAACCGAGTGAGCCCAAAATTGTATGGAAACTCATATGACCAAATTGCGCCAATTTGAATGAAAAATCCTCCAAAATTTGAAATATTTAAAAAATGGTCACTTTAAAAGCAACAGTTAAAAGCCAAAAAAAGGGCCCCTTCGCACCCTTTAAAGGCCTGGTAGGCTGGTATATTTTGTTTACACTATGCAAAATGTTAACTTTGACAGAAGTTAAAGTCATACACGTTTTTAAAATCATTCTGCTTTAACAATATTTTCAGATAACATTTTTTCCTCATATATATTGATCTAGTATGTGTTGATTAAATGTAAGCAAATATGTAAAGATTAATCTTACAAATATGGGGAAAGAACGGTGATCCACATAACTTTATATTCAAAATATATTATATTTTTAGTTCGGGAACGGTATTTGTCTATGCTTCAAGCTTAAAATCAACTGCCATGAATTTCTGTCATATTGAGTTTGCCACAAACTCAAATTTTCTAATCCTTATATCTTGGCAACCTGATGGTGGAAACCCTTAATATTTCAAACTTAGGCTATTAGTTCTAACAGAATTCATAGATTGAAATATCTAACGTCTACAAAATTGGGTTGCAAAGATATAGGTATTAGAAAATCAGAGTTTGTGACAAAGACTCAATTCCTTTCTTTGGTAATCAACCTACTTTGGTAGAACTTTTTTTTATTTTTTCGTAAGGTTGGAAAAAAAAACTTCAGTATAAACAACTTTTTCTAGACATCTTTTGTAGAAAAAAGTTAATTATGGAATCTTTGCTTGGGTTCCAATACAGTCCATTTTGACACTTTATCTTCTGTAAAGTTTGAGCATGTACCTGACACCTGTAATCCATTTAACCGCGAAAACTTTGCTGATTACATTTCCTGGATTTTCAGGATTTCAAGTTCCGCCAAGTTCTAGCCCAGTATATCTGTGGTAAAAAGGAAAACAAGAATCATGCCACCAGGAGAGGAGCCTCTATAACAGCTAACACCACAAGGCATTAATTCTTACACATGTGTGTGCATCAGCTGTTTTTATTCAACCAATAACAGCATAGGATTCTGTAGTTGCAGATTGATTGGGCATAGAAATTAGCGCTTTAAAGCTCCAATAATCTTTTAAAAATTACTCAAATAAGGTCATGTGCAAGTAGTTTTTAATTAAAGAAGGGGTCGTATAAGAAACATTTTGTTTATACTTCAGTTTAAATCACAATGAGGCCTTAATATGATGCCATGCAAGTTCCATCAACGCTTTATAACGCTAGGGCCTGGATTTCAGCCAACCCTTTTTTTAAGGTTTCTCTTGATACAGTTCAGGATAGATGATTATGTTTGTAATAAATACAGCAATCCCCATATTTGTTTAACCTGAACATACTTAGACATATTACGTTGTACATTGCCTGCAAACATGAGTAACATGATTGAGACATGCATTATGATTAGATTATCTACGTTTATATCTATCTATGTTAATCTTTTAAATATGTAAATTCAATTTTAACTACGCTTTGATTACAGTGTGAGAGTAATTTGGTTCTTATTGAAACATACGAGCTGAGATTGTGCCTAGATTTGGCATCCATCGATTAAGAGCTTGTTTGATAGCTACCCTTGTGTCACTGTTTGACATTCAGAGCTGATAGTCCTTGTTGGAACATATGACCTGAGATTGTGCCTAGAGATTTGAAATTGATCGATTAAGGCTTGTTTGATAACTACGCTTGTGTCTGTATTGACATTCAGAGCTGATAAGATTGTGCCCATTAGTTTTGCATTGATCGCTTAAGAGTTTGTGTCATGGTGTACATTTGAACCTGGATTGATACAGTTCTGGACAAAGTTTTCAGAGTACGGCATTTACTACATGTATAAACCTCAGATTTCGGAAAGCCCAGAAGAACAATCTAATGGGGTTCTAATATATGAAAATGATTGTTTTTTCTCAAGCAATATTGGTTGGCTAAAGTTAACAGAGAGATTTTCAAATGTTCGACATAGTTTTAGTTCAACTGTATAGATCATACAACAAAACTTACTTAAACGACCCCTTCTAAAATTTTTTTTTAAACTATGCTCTAGAGCGCATTTTTGAGGATTTTTCAACGATTTAGAGGGCTGGAAAAATTCATATGTATCAATGCTGAAAAAAAATTCATATTTCCAATACATTTAAAACATCATTTTAAAGGCCTTATCAAGGTTAAATCTCGAATAAACCAATTAGATTTATTATTTTATTACCAAAAATCAGTATTTTTGTGAAATATTTTTTAAAAATGAAAATAAAAGTTTTCAAATAATAATAAATTCAGTGTAAAAATGTGCATCTTTTTCAATTTTCCAAAAGAATCCTTCAAAGAAATTCATTTAACTAGAAATTTGGTTTAAATGGTTTCTCACAAAGTACACAATATAAATTAGAAAGATGAAATATGTATAATATGGAAGTACCTGACATTTGTTTTATATTATATAAAAATAACAGGGAGCGAATTGTTCAATTTAAAATTATAAAGGTTGTTAAATATTTTACAACCAGGAAGAATTATGATGATATAAAAACTGACATTTTTCAGATTCTGAAACCGTGAAAAGAATTTATGATAATTAGAGCTCCGATTTCTTCATTCCCTCTCACAAACCTTACAACCATCGGGGATATGGTTGATACAGCTTCTAGCAACCAAACTGCTGATAATAGAGCTTCTAGCAACCAAACTGCTGATAATACAGCTTCTAGCAACCAAACTGCTGAAAATACAGTTCTGCAACCACTGGCAACATATACAGATACACATCTATAAATCTATACTGATAATACAGTTCTGCAACCACTGACAGTGTATATGTATACAGATACACATCTATAAATCTATACTGATAATACAGTTCTGCAACCACTGACAGTGTATACAGATACACATCTAAAAATCTATACTGATAATACAGTTCTGCAACCACGGACAGTGTATACAGATACCATCTATAAATCTACACTGATAATACAGTTCTGCAACCACTGACAATGTATACAGATACACATATATAAATCTATACTGATAACACAGTTCTGCAACCACTGACAGTGTATACAGATACACATCTATAAATCTATACTGATAATACATTTCTGCAACCACTGACAGTGTATACAGATACACATCTATTAATCTATACTGATAATACACTCCTGCAACCACTGACAGCGTATACAGATACACATCTATAAATCTATACTGATAATACAGTTCTGCAACCACTGACAGTGTATACAGATACACATCTATAAATCTATACTGATAATACAGTTCTGCAACCACTGACAGCGTATACAGATACACATCTATAAATCTATACTGATAATACAGTCCTGCAACCACTGACAGCGTACACAGATACACATCTATTAATCTATGCTACTGATATTCTAAGGAATGAAGTATGCTCCTCATTACCTAAATATCTGATTAGCAAAATGATGTTATTGACATGGAAGTTTTAGAACTATGAATTCTGCCAAATCAGATCAAAAGTTTAAAATATGTAATAAATTACCCTAGCTGTGGTTTGCAAAGAGATATGAAACAGAAAAAAAAGTTATTTAATATTACTTAAGCATGTTAATTATAAGTTTATTATAAGTTTTCATATTAGAAGAAAATAATATTATTTTATTAGCTTAAAATTTAACATTATAAAGTAGCTAAGGCAGACATAATCAACAAATGCCTCTTAAAGAATCGAAACTGTTGATTTTATTCTGAAATAGCTTTTCTCTATTTCTTAAAATTTACAAAAGATTAACAATAATCTGTTCTATATCACAGAAAGAGGTGGACAATTCAGAAATAAAAAAGCATTCAGTTTGGAATTATTTAAAACATCTAAATGTAAAAAATCTTAATTTTTTAAAAAACAAAGCAAATCAGTTCCCAATTTTACTATAATCATCTATCTGAATAAAATAAATTTGATATTGTTATGTGTTTTAAACTAAATTTAATATATCATATTACAATATTAAAGAGCTATAACAATAAAGTACTTCCCTTATTTCTTATTATTTTAGGATGAACATATATTTTGGAATAAATTCTCCATATTAACTTTATGTCAACATAAAGCCTGTTATTTTCTAATTCATAAAATATCAAAAAATTGTATATTGTTATATATTTGGGAGATCTTATATATCTTAGATATCTTGAATTTGTCAAAAATGTAGAAAAGAAAATTTTAAGTTTTCCTAACTCTGAGGAAAAAATCTTCTATTTCATTTATTTTTATATGAGAAAGAAAAATCGTAATTTTTTTCTTTGATTGAACAGGCTGCAAGCTAACTCAGCTCAGCCATTTTCTCTGAAATCCAATTTTTTTCTAATCTGTGTCTGATAGAAAATAAATGTGTTCAGCTAATTTGTATTTACCAGATTAAAGGGAGCGTTTGCGAACTTGAACTGGGATCAACAAAAACCATTGATTGATACCATTTTTACTTCCATTCAATGTTTCTGTAAAACGAAAATGAGAAAAAATCTTTTTTTAAATTCTAGTTTACTATTTTTTTTAATAAAAAATGTACTTAATTTTCGAATATATTTTATTTTCTTAACAATAGGATGTGTCAAAATTGCTTGCCAAAATTATAGAGTTTTATAGAATCAGTTCTGTAATTTTTATAGAAAAAAATTCACGTTTAAAAACTCGATTTCATTTGAAAATCAAAAGTGGTAACAATTATTTGTCGAACAAAAATGCACCTATAAAAACTTTGTAACTATTGTTGTTATTGTTGATTTAAAATATTTCAGAAATGTTTTTATGTTGTTTAGTCCTATATGTATAGAACTTGGGTGAGGGGGAGTTGATTATATTTAAATGGAAAAATTATGACTGGATGCTCAGAAAATTAACATGTAAGTTTTGCCCACTCCTAACCTTAGTTTAATCCATATTGATGATTAATGTTGACAACCTTAGTTCTACTCACATTGATTGAGAAAACATTGTTGATTAATGTTGACTGGTAAAAGTTTAGTTGGCTGGTAACTTGTTGTAAACAATGTATAGTTTGTACAAACAAACAGATTACATTATTAGTTCCGTTGTTTACAAAACTAAATCAAAAACTTCCCAAACCAATATCTCTGTATCTATTCTGAAGTATAGGGTTACCCAATACCCATACAGGATGAGACTTCAGAGACGACTGTTCAGATTTTATCGGGAAATTTTTCTTGATTTAATGGCTCCCTTTAAAGCTTTAAACGTGCTGTTTTTTCGCCAATTTATTTTTCTTTAAAAATTGCAATACCGAAAACCAAATGAAACATTCAGATCTAAAGAATTGACGATTTTTATGTAGTCATTAAAATATCATACTTTGTGGGTAGCTCTGTCTTTAATTTCAGTAGTCTAATGGTCAAGGGTAAAAATTTGGATTTAGTTTTTTAAAACTGTTCAAGTAATTAAAATAAGTAAATATATAAACAAAAGTTGAATTGTTAAATTAAATATATTTTGTATGTTTATGTATATTTCTTTTGTATACTTTAGGTGCTTTAGGTAACCTTGTTTATTTCTTGTTATTAAAAATTATTTGTTAGGGGGGGGGGGCTAAGAATAAAAAAAAATATTATTACCGTGACTTTGTTTTTAAAAGTATTTATTAACAATATGCAAAGATGGTCTCAAATAGTTTATCAAGTACAATAGGTGGCAATGACATTTTAAGAAAATTTACATGACGACATTTTGTAAAAAACAGTAATAAAGAAAAGAACACTTAAAACTGAACTAATTTCACTGCAATTGGAAATCTATTTGGTTTTCACTAACATTTGATTCTTAATTTAGTCAAAATTGTAATTTTAACTTTTGTGCAATGTAAAACGTATTTAGCTTTAAATGTATATAATAATCCATATATGTATAAAGTTGTAATCTCTGTTTGTTTGTTTGAATGTCCGATCATACCTCAGGAACCTCTTGACCAATTTGCCTCAATTTTTAATTGGGAAACTTGGGTTCTCTTTCATAGATAAAAATAGGTGAAATCTTAATTTTTCGACGAAGCGGGGGTGAACGGCGGGACTAACTATTATTATCCTGGTCAACGCTGGGTTCTCAAGCTAGTATATTATAAATTTAAATTCAATACAACTAAATATATACAGTGATTGAAAATATCAAAAATGTCGAATTTGTTTGAAAAAACTTTAAAATAATTTAATTCATGTTAAAAACATTAGAAAATATGAATATAAGATTTTTTAATTATTTGATTTGTAAAAATTTAAGAAAATATTAAAAAAAATAATTTTTAGGAAATTTTTTTTATATATATATATTTTATTGGAAGAAATATATATATAAAATGTATATTCAAACTGAAAAAGTTGGAAATACTATATATATTATATAAATATTTGTATATATTGTAAAAAAGTATTAATATTGAAACACCTTGTATCAAGAAATTTTTTGACCAAAAATCTTAAATTAATTAATGTTAGAATAAATGTAGTTTAATGTCAATAAATATGTTTTCTATTAAACTTTCTTTCATTACTGGGATGGGCTAAGAGTTTCTTATCTAAAATAAAGGAAAAAATTAAAGTTTTTTTTCGATTTTATGTTATAAAACTAAAACAAAGGAATTGAGTTTTTGCCACAAACTCTGATTTTCTAATATCAATATCGTTGCAACCCGATGTCGTAGACCTTAAATATTTCAAACTATGAATGCTATTAGATCAAATAATGTAAGTTTGAAATATCAAAGGTTTACATCATAAGGTTGCAAAGATATAGATTTTACAAAAACTGAATTTGTGGCAAAGACTCAATTCCTTTGTATTTTGTCTTAAAAAGATACTTTATGATATATATTATATAATCTCTACTACTGTAGTAGGTTGACAACTATGGTTTATGTCGTTAGTAAAATTGTTTGCATTCTCTTATGCAAAAATCGAGCAGAATTTTGCCAATTAATTACTCCTCCGAAGAGTCACAATGGTGAGTTCAAAGGAAAGGCTGAGACATTGCAACGCTTTAAAATCTTACCCTGTCTAAAGCTTTTATGAAGTTTTATATAAAAATGATTGTGTAAAATCTAATTATGCCCATTTCTAACTAAAAAACGTAATTTGAATTTACGCAATATTAAAAAAATCTTAACCCTATTTATCTTGACTGTTTCATGTCTGGATCCCCCCCCCTCTATTTTCTTTTTGTTTACTAAACGTAGGAAGTTCATATCCTAGTATATTTACCATAAAAAGTTTTTATTCATTTATTAAATCACATTTACTACGGGATTACATACTGAAATAATAACAATAATGAATTAGGTTATATTTACAGTTGTTGTTATTAATGAATAAGAGTAACATAATTGAATAAATGTTATTTACCAAATTTAGTGCAGGAATCTCTTAGAAGGGAAAACCCCTTCACTCTTTTCTTTAATGCTGAGTGAAGGTTAAGCTATACAACTAGGCACTATATAAACCATACAGGTAGTTACAGGGTGTCCCAATAAACATGGCAATTCAGTGACGAATTCGATATCATCTTTTTAAACAATTCTTTGATTTAGTATAGTGATACCTACTGAAAAAGCTGTAATCTGTAAGAGTTTCGTCTGTTATGTTCACATTTTGTTTGTTTATGTTTTGACTGCATGCATACGGTTGTATTTAGTAAAACAAGAAAATTGAAGTATACAAACAGAGTAAACTTGTCCGTTTTCACTGTTCATCTTGCGGAGCCATTATAGACACATCTTTACAGTCTTTTACCCTTTTCATAAAATTAACTCTAGCAGACATAATAATGTTATGGCTTT